AGGAGCAGTGGGCACCAATGACCTTTTGAATTTGAGTGCCTAGAAACAGGAGGCAAATTTTCTCCATATATAACTATATATCTATATAACTCCAAACTGATTTCTGTCCGGCATAAAATGTAAGGACCCAGGATGTCATCTATAAGAACTGTTTTAAGATTTTTTGTTTTTGTTTTAAAAAGCAATTTATTTCCTATTAAAGAGAATGAGAATGGTTGCAAAACAGCCAATAAAATTCTTAGAACAGCGGGGACATAAAAGCACTGGTAAATGTAAAATTGTCTTTTGAGAGGCTAGAAAGATTTCAGTTCTGCCTTTTGTACTGGATTGCAGGCCTTTAGTAAGGCAGTGGAAACCTGGCTGATTCCTCAGCTGTTTAGGTCAGGTTGATTGGGACTTTTGTCTGGAAGTATAATAAATCAATGATTGCAATGAATTTGACTAACCAATCGCCGATTAATTGTTTAGATCTGTTTTTCGCTGGAATTGTTTATTTGGTTTATTGGTTTATTGTACACCACCCAGAGCCTCATTGTTCTAGAGTTGGATGGCCATCTAATTGCTATGAATAAACACAAACAAATAGTTCACACACCACAAGTAGCAACTGCTAGCATCTCATCTCCTCCATGAATCACACCTGCAGTATGGAAGGTACGGGTGAAAACTGCAGTGATAGTTCCAGAAATCTTGGTGAGCACAGGAACAAGCTTTCACAGGCTATACACAACAGATTTGCCTCTTCATTCTCTCTCTCTCTCTATATATATATATATATTTGCATTTCTTTCAAGTTAATTTTGTCCCATCTCTGTATTCATTTGCATAAAAAAAATTGGCATGAAAATCAACATGCATTTTCATATCTTGTTTTCCTAATACATGGAGTTTTTCTTATAAGAAAAGCAAAATGTATGCTTTTGTTGCCTCTTTCCTCCCCCCACCCCATTTTGTATATCCTATTCTCTTCATAATCTACATTTCAGTGCATTTTTCTATTGGATATGTGAAGCACAACACTTGAGGAAACATGAAACTCAAAACACCTTTATTTCGATGTGCGAATCAGTTGAACAGCTGTGAATTAGGTCTGTGTGGATTCAAAAGTGAGTTAACTAAATTTCTCTCCCATCCCTGTTCATCCAGCAATGATCCTAAGGAATTCCCAAGGTTCTTAATAGGGGATTCCCAGAACGAATAATAATCCCTTGGAGTCTTATGAACTAGTATATAATTTCCTTAACAGCATTTTGAAAATGGCCCCATGTAGCTTTGGCCACCACTGAACCAGGTGTCTGTTCAGAGGCTACGCTTGTTTCAAAGAAGATGCAAGTTGATCTCCAGCACGGTATACCAGTGTTTTTTGACATCCCTAAATCAGGTTGCTGTTGCTTTAACTCTGCAAGTTTCAAAGAAGTCTTCTGTTTCTTTACCAGTGCTCTAGGGTGAATATTTTGTCTAGCTGCAGGAGGAAGGCTTTGTCATGGATCTTGCTTACAATAGACGTAGAAGCAAAATGGTGCCTGTAGGTTCTGTATCTATTGTTAGTCCAGAATAGATTTCTTTTACTGCATTCCTGCTTTGTTAGCTTTTAATGACTGACAGTCTTCTACTGCAAATACTGTGCTATGCTGGCCTATTTACTTACTACTCAAGGATTTTTCTTTTTGAAGCGACACCAGAAAGGCAAAAAGAAAATAGCAATGTTTATATTACTTATTCAAGGTTGCTGAAAGGTTTTCTTTAATTCTCAATGCCACTTTCAGTAGGAGTTCCCATATTTACTTGCTTTGCATCCATATAGTCTGGACTGAATACCCTTTTCCACATCTGTTGCACACACTGGCTGACATCTGGGGATGCTGCTGTGGAAGAACGAGGCCTGACCAGCTCCATCACCATTTCTTCCAGACACAGTTGGATGGGCATTGTTACCACAGTGCTGAACTTTACTAGCATTTTATGATTTGGGGAAAGCTGCTTATGTTCCTATTTCCTTCAAATTATAATCTTAGTCTTAGTTGTTTTTATGTTTATTGTGGACTTTTTATTTTATTCATTGGTTCAGTTTACATCCTGTCTTCCTTCTAGGAGGTCAAAGCAGTCTGCAGAGAATGTCTTCCTCCCATTTTTCCTCACAGGAACATGGGATAGAGGTTGGATTGAGGTAGAAAGTTAAAAAAAAAAAAAAAAAAGGAAATAGTAAGGCTGGTTCCAGATGTAATTATGTTTGGAATAAAGCTGTTGAAATCTGTTAAACTGATTTATTTAACTGCTTTAGTCACCATGGACTCTAAGCACTACACAAAACAATACCCATAATATTATCTACTGTAATTATCTACTGACAATGCGATTAAGCACAGTAGAGGCCACCCCATCTCACTCAGTCGACAGAACTATTTCTCAAAGGCCTTCCAGGAAAATCGTTTAGGAACTCATGTTTGAATTCACTCCAACTGATTTCACTAAAGTATCATGTAATTTGGTACCAAAGTGCTCTGCACATAATATGTCTGTCTGTCTGTCTGTATATATTCAAGTTTTATCTCCCTACCATGAACTAGCCAATGTTATCTTCTAAAAGAAGATAGATGGCACCTCTTTAAAGGACCAGAAGCTGCTTCATGTTGCTTGCTGTTATGAACATAGATGAGAAACATTTCTCTAGCATTTCATCTAGAGTTCCTTGTTGCTCTGATCTGGAGCCAAGACTTTTTAAATGCCCATAGGTGACCCTAGGGTCAGGTGGGGGGAAGTGACAACCTGCACAGTATGCCAGGCGTCTCCCTTAGGATTTTGCCTTGTAACAGATACTTAGCATGTGTAACATATGGTTCTAGCACAGAGCAACAATCTTCTGCAGACCTTTTCCATCATGAACAATGCAGAGAATTTGTATTTCCCAAGTTGGGGGTCAACGGATTGCAATTTTTAAATTTGGAAATAGCTAGGAGAAGGGGACCCAAACCTACTAAGGTAACGTGTTATTCTTAATCCATTGTGTCATAATTTTCAAGTTCAAAATATGACACATTTTGCATTATACTTGGAGCTTGGCTGCTAGAACTCTCTTAGCTCGATTAATTGCATCGCTGAGTATCCAAACCCAAAGTTTGAGCAGTTCCCAAAATAAAGCTATTCCAATTCCCTGTATCATGATAAATGTGTTTGGGATGAGAATGCAATTGTGACTAAAGCTCCGGGAGAATTAGATATGGAAATATTTCCAAGGCTACTCATCAACCGTTCATACATTTCACTTTGGATAAACCATGATTGAGAAATATGTTCCTTTGAAAAGTTAACATATACTCCTTTTCAGTTCCTAGTAGGGGGTAGACAAATGCTGGCTCAAATACACCTAAGCACAGAAGTCGGGGATAGCAGTGGTTATGTCTAAGATAAAGATAGTCACTGTGGCCATTGTTATTTAGATGGAACATACTGGAGCACTTATCTTTTACTAAACTCCATTTTCTAACTGAATGCAGCACTAATCGCAAGATTGAAAGCTATTATAATTGTGCACCTTTCTAAATGCTGACAAGAATATACAATCACATTGTTTGGAAGCAACTTGAATGTCCCGTGGGTTGTAGGATTTGTATTTTATGATTACACGAAAAAGAGTTTTGTGTGAAAAGAAAGGACAGAGCGAAAGAATTATCAATACTGAAACTGTGCATGGATGTATAAATCATAAAGATGTACCTTTTAAGTAAGCATATGCAAATTCTGGGTTGCGATGGTATCTCTAAAGCACCTGATCCAACACCAAGGATTTAATCCTGCAGACTCTGTTTTAAAGAATTATAGGATCCAGTCTCACAAGATGTGGAGACGCACCCTAACTTAGATTGTGTTTAAATGAAATTAGTTAGATTGATAGAAAACATAGTCCCCACCCCCCGCCCCCCAAATTAATGCTGTTAGATAGAATTCTGGAATAAATTCATGGAGAATATATCCTCAATCAATCACTGCCTGTTAGTCAGATGCTTATATACTATTTCCAAGTTGAAAGAAAAAAGATGAACAAGGGAAGGTTCGATTGTCTTCAAATCCTGTTTCTGGTCTGTCTGGAGACATTAGCCTGGCCACTGGGGGAAGCAGGAAAACATTGATGCAGTAGGGCTTGGCCTCTTGTCTGGAACTCTTTAAAGCAGCTGTATCATTTCCCAGATTCGCAGGGCTGCAAAAGGCAGCGCTTGGCCCCTCATCTGCCACTCTTTAAAGAAGCCATGTCTTTTCCTGGGTTTGCACAAGAATCTGAGAACAGACTCGGTGGCTTTAGAGTTGCAGGCAGGGCTGCATTTTCACCATCACACACCCCGAAACCCCTTTTTCGAACACAATTTAAAGTGCTGCACAGCCAGCTTTTTCCTTTCCGAGCTCTTCTTGGATTGTTATTACTACTGATACCCTTACTATTTGTTTGCAGCGAGTGTATTACAGGGGAGAGGGGTTAAAAAAAAAAAATTGCCACAGCATGCTTACCACCACACTATGTTTAAACACATTGTAAAGTGGATGTAATTGTAAACACACCGAGGGATATAATTACATGTAGCAGATTTAGGCACTAATTCTTTGCCTTGTTTTCCCCCTCTCTCCCCCCCGCCCTCTGCATTTTATCAACATAATTATATTTTTTTGACTGCAGGCTAACACCCTGAAATTGACAAGCATCCATTATAAGCAGAAACTTGTTCTCTAAATTGAAAAACAATACACGCCAGGTTTCTGTGGGCCCATTGTCATATGGAACAGCTTTGTTCAGAAAGAGGAAAAGCTAATGATTTTGAAACAGCAGGTGACAAAACGCATTCTTTTTTTCATGCTTTCCCCTCTTATCAGTATCTTGATGAAGTCATTATGAACTGGGGTCCAGGTTGGGATTGGACTTATTTTTAGCAGATAGACCTTTAATGAGTTCTATTGTGCTATCAGTCAGGTTGATTTCCTTACATTTTTTTTTTCTCTTTCTCTTCATTCAGAAACCCCCAGTATTGAAAAGCTACTATCAAAAGATTGGAAAGACAAGCTCCTTGCTATGGGATCAGGGAACTTTGGAGAAATAAAAGGTAAACCTTATTTCTATTGACAAAGGTGTTGTAAGAAAAAGAAAAGAAAAGTAATTGCAATATGTGGGACTTCAGTTCTATTGGGCATATGTTTTTCATTCCATTTTGTACTTCTTCATCAGAGATTAGGACAGACTCTAGGACGTGGTAAAATTTGGCCCTATCTTCCTGCTAAAGCTGAAGCTCTTGTGTCGTCGTCTCACTGCTGACAGCTCTTTGTTTTTGTGCAGTCATGGAGACCTGGTCATTCTTAGCAGGGCTCTCCTCTGCTCTTTTTGGGCCTTTCTCTTTCCTAAAACTCTCAACACATTCAGTCTTCCCTGGAAAATGTAGGAAAGGTTGGAGCATAACTGTAAAGAAGGCACGATTCTTCAGCACTATAGCACTAAATAAGGAATCTTACACGGTGCTACTAGTCAAGCAATCTGTTAACCATCAAGTTCTAATCTAGGGTATAAGACAAAGGGTCCCAGTATCTAGATCAACGTGCCATGAGCTGAAGGTAAGCATAGTCAAAGTTCTGGCAGAGTTAATTTTTTTTTCTGAGAAATCTCAGCCAGGGTTGATTTTAAGGCTCAGAACAGTCTGAATCAGGCCATCATATAAGCTGTTCAAACATTTGAATAAAACTGAACAACAACAAAAAAAGGTAGAGCTTCCATCTAAACATAGCTAGTGCTGCTTAAATTGTATTGTGATTGCTGGTCTATTCAAAAACAGCAGCTTATTTGACAACCGTTGCCTATACCCATAGAGATGAGAAGAGCGACTATATAAATATGATAGATAGATAGATAGATAGATAGATAGATAGATAGATAGATAGATAGATAGATAGATAGATAGCCATCCCTCTGCTGTCTGGCATTATACTTAGGGCATGGTACTCTTGTGGACTTTGCTTCAAAATCTGATCCCAGGGCTAAGGGTTGGGGAAGAAAGACACTTTCCTGCTTCTCAGAATTAGCTTTTCTACACAGTTTATCCTCATCTAGATTCTCCTTCTCTTTGGAAGAGGATTTGTCCAAGGGGGCAACATGTAAGCCATGACAGATGCAATTTTCCCCTCATATATTATATCTTGTGTTTTTTTAAAACATAAATCAAATTTATTACTGAGAAGACTAAGTTCTCAGAGATTTGCTACTATAAAAACATGCGCCGGTGGCTAGGAATGTTGGAATCAGATTTGTGGGCAACTGGTGAAAATAGAGAAATAGAAATGTTGATAAGACTGAAAATAGGAATTGCAATTTCAGGTGTTTGCCAAGACTCATATCCCAAGAGAGGGCCAACTTACAACCCTCAAGATCCCTCTTCTTGCTGTTTTACCCTATTAGTTTCTTTTAAGCAAGGGAATATTAATGACAGCAATGAGAAGAAATTGTAACCTCCACTTGTGTCCTGCTTTACTGCTGTAATTACTATAAATCACTCTTAAGTAATTGGCATAGCTGGTCTAATGTAGAGAAAAAAGCTGTGAGAAGTGGACTAGAAAATCTGAGATGAGTAGCCTCTTACAGATAAAACAGTCCTTTGTCCATAGCCTGATTTTCTTAATTTGCTGGCTGAAGTCTGAACCAAAGATATAGTCAAAAAGAGGAAGTCAAGAGTCCATCTTAGAGTCCTGGTACAAGGGTCTGGTTTCACAAGGGAGATTCATGAGATGCTCATGAAGAATCTCAATTGCAAACAACACTGAAGGGGGTCATAGGTCAGGTATAACTCTGCAGAGCAGAGTATCTCCCCCAGACAGTGCCTAATTATTCTCCTGGCAGAGTTCTAATGCTGTCAACTCCTAAATTCAGCTGCTCACTACATTTTCTCTCAGTTGCCTCCACTCCTTTGGATCTGGAGGAGAAGCAGATTCCAGCAAATCATCCTCTCTAGCTAGTTCCTCTTTAGGCAAAATGATCATCTCAGGCTCTTCCCTGAAAGCTGGCTGAGATGCCATTGTCTTCTGTAAGTCCTGCTTCTAAAGAGGTGCAAGATCTTCCTTATGGGAGGACTCATCACAGACACAACAATCTGACTAAACATTGCCCAGGGATGGCTATGTGGTTTTAACTGAAAAAGAGAGGGCAAATGGTTGGTAAAGGTGACCAGAGGGAGGTGCACCCCAGGTCTTTAGAAGACCTATTAAAGGCTTCTTGCCTAAACATTGTTTCCTCTTGAGTGCATTGTTATTTCTTTTGCTAATAACTGGAATGTCAGCTGGGAAAATTGGTCATTGTAGTAGCGGAAAGGTGTTGAATTGATAAATGATTTTAGCTTGTGCTTCTTTTCTGAAAAGAGGAAAAGAAGCCAGGATGAACAGTCAGAACTTTACCATACGGCACTTGTGCCTCCACAAAGACCAACAAGCCAAGCTTTGTTGCAGCTCAGTTTGCTAAAACAACACTAGAGGGATCCTTACCTGAACATGTATTGGATCTGTTCTTTCTTCATGAACAGAAGGTCATTATTAAAGGTTTTCCAGCTCTTCCATTTAATTAATTGCTTGATGTATTTACCTTGGCAGTGCCATTTTGGATAAAACAGGGCACCAGACATATTGGGGGTCAAAGTCTGCAAGATGGCAGGTGCAGCATCATGATAAAAGCCTCACCCCCTTTGTACATTGTCCCTGGACTCAACCCATGAGAATTTCATTCGAATTCTCTTTTCCTCTGAGAAAAAAAAATGAAAGTAATTTGTCTTTTCATAGAGAAAAATACAGGATAACTTTTCTGTATGCCACTGATGTACACATTGATTGGCTTGCACCTTTACTCCCATCTGTTTCATAAGATACTCCTAAGATGCTTCATGAGGTACTTCCAAAAGGTGTTTCCAAGGAAGAGAAGGGGGGAAGGGCAATTTCAGTGGATGTCTCTGCAAGCTTTTCAGATTCTGTACTTAAAACTGCTCCTTGGTTAGAACTGTGATGTAAATTTACTTGGTTTGCACTTCATGGTGATCCTATTGAATTTGCCCTTCCCAAATGAGGCTTTGTATTAGGAAAGATGGGGTTCTAAAAGTAGGGTTACTTTTTAAACAGGGTGCATAATAGCAGAAATATACCTGGAAAAATTGCTCAGCGATGCAGAAACAAGATGGAAAGAGCTCAAAGTTAGGAAGCTGAGAAACTGAGCAACATAAAAGTGAAATTGGTTGTTTCCTCTATCTGTCTGATATCCTGGAGGGGTGTCACTCATTGATATCCTTCATTCATTTCCCCCATAGCTAAAGTAACCCCATTTTCCAGGTGTCGAGAGAAAATCAAAACCCATTTCATTATTCCAGGAAAGAGGAATCTGTCAATTGCAGATAATCGTGGAAAGATGCATGCTGTCCCCTGCTCCTCAGCCCTTTTATTTTCCAGAGAAGTTGAGTTCTGTCAAAAGAAGGAAATTGTTTTTCTCTTCACGGGGGTTTGTAATGTCGCTACTGTGGGAATGCTTTCGCACCATTGTCATTCCTGCGGGTGGAAACAGCTGTAACCACTCTGGCCATTCTGTTATGCATCACATCTCAAAAGAGGGGGAAGAAAGGCATCAGAGGGCCAGTGCTCATCCAAGACCAAGGACTCATCTTCATGTGGTTGCAGGCAAGCGAGATTTTTGTGGAAAACAAGATACTTCTTTTTGTACCAGATAGCAGTGGGTTATGATTAATCAAGATATATAAGTCCAAATCTTTGCACTTATAGCAAAGATGGTGTCGATGGAAGCAATTAAAAATAAATAAATGAAAAAGATTTCCAAGGAGCAAAGTGATGGTGTAATGGTCTGTGAGGATGACCTTGGGAGACAGGAAGGAGAGCCACAGATGGGACCACCAGCTTGGAAAAGGTATCTCAGCCCACAGGAGAGGAGGCATGGAAAGCATTTCAGAAGGGACCTTCCCTAGTTTTTAGTGAATTGGAAATTTGACAGATGCCCGTTGACTAGTCAGGTGAAAAGACTATAAGTAGTAAAAGAAGAAATGAGTCACAAGTGTGATTGTATTCTCTCATATTATCCCTGATGTTGATATATCCTTGTATCCTGTGTGAGGATGGGTCAGAAATCCTGGGAATTACAAGTATTCTTCTGTAATGGTATGTGGGAATGACCTTGGGAGATGGGGCCCAGAGATGCTGCCTAGGGAACGGTCAAATAAGGGACAGCATAGTCCTCAGCTGGATAGTGGATGGAGCAAGAGGCTCAGGAGAGACGATCCCTAATTTCTCAGGGTGTAAAGGAGATGGGGAGAGAACTGTACTTTCAGACTTGCAAGATTCTGTTAATGTAGCCTTACAATAAAGTAGAATTAGTTTATCTAGTCGGGTTTCCTGTCTGGTCTACCTGATAAGGCTGACATCTTCCATGCAGTTGGAAATTCTGAAGGGCCCAAGTTGTAAGTGTTGAGAGAACAGACCAGTGGAAGCCTCAGAAGGGGAGTTAGCGAGTCCCTTTGTTCACACGTGTTTGAACGTTTTTCAGCAGAACGCTCCTCAGAACATGAGTCACTCCCTAGTAGTTTTGCTTCAAATCATAGCTCTAGGCTGCCATCAAAGTATTACCACAAGCAAAATTTATAATTTAGTGATTCTTCTGTGGGAAAACTATCTGAAGAATTGTTGAGACAAGCATAAGGTACTTCTGGTGAGATCTGAATCTGTCTCAAGGGAGTTTCAGCATATTCATTGCTGCTCACTTCTAGTTGGTCTATGGAGAAAGTATGTAATGGATCTTCATTATATCCTGGGCTGACCTATAGGGCTTGGGAGAAGAAACAGTTGATTTGGAAAGGCGACTAAAAGTGCTATTTCAGAGAGTGCTGTGCAGGGGGGAAAAATCTTTCTTTTTTCCCCTACTAGTTCTCATTCCATCTGATGAAAGCGAATCTGTTTTCAATGTTTTTTCAAGGGAGAAAGTAAGTTTAGTGAAATTCTCATGAGTGGAATATGGTGTCTTTGCACTTTTTAGTGACAGGGTAGCTAATGGCTGTGTGTGAATGACCTGTTTTTCATTGCA